TTAACAAAGGCTAATTCTCTTTGGGGGAAAATATCAAGGTTTTTTTTCTTTTGAGACAGTCTCACCCTATTGCCCGGGCTAGAGTGCCATGGTGTCAGCCTAACTCACAGCAACCTCAAACTCCTGAGCTCAAGCAATCCTCCTGCCTCAGCCTCCCGAGTAGCTGGGACTACAGGCATGCGCCAGCCACCATGCCCGGCTAATTTTTTCTATATATTTTTAGTTGTTCCACTAATTTCTTTCTCTCTTTAGTAGAAAACGGGGTCTCACTCTTGCTCAGGCTGGTCTTGAACTCCTGACCTTGAGTGATCCTCCAGCCTCAGCCTCCCAGAGTGCTAGGATTACAGGCGTGAGCCACCACGCTGGCCTCTAGATTTTTAAATGTGAATTTTATTATACTTTGAACTGATAGTTTTCTCCTCAAGAACATGTCTGAGGTATCATGGAAGGCAAGAAGAAACCTTTAACTACTGCTTTAAATATAACCTGTCCAGAATGTGTTTGGGAGGCTGGGCTCTGTGGCTCACACTTGTAATCCCAACATTTTGGGAGGCCGAGGCAGGAGGATCACTTGAGGTCAGGAGTTAGAGTTAGAGACCAGCCTGGGCAAGAGCAAAACCCTGACTCTACTAAAAATAGAAAAAAAAAAAAATTAGCAGAGCATGGTGGTGCAGGCCTGCAGTCCCAGCTACTCAGAGGCTGAGGCAGGAGGATTGCTTAAGCCCTGGGATGTGAGCCATGATGACGCCACTGCACTCTAGCCAGGGCAACAGAGCAAGACTCTGTCACACACACACCAAAAAAATAATAAAAAAAATGTTTTGATTTGTGTGGCAAAGCCAAATAATATGGTCTGTGAATAATAGGTATTCTGTTTTTAAATTTATTCCCTTGCTGACTACAGGCCTGGGTTTATTTATTCTAGAGCCTAGGCTTATGTCAGAACTGTGGCCATTTCAAAGAGCTCAGCCTCTCCAGATGGAGTAAATGGAAGCTCCTAAATTCTATGAGTGGAGGACGTGAGCACAATTTTCAGAATGTCAGCATCTTCCTTCACTGTTGACATTTGGGATCCTACTGTAGCACCCCCACGCCTGTCTGTGTCCAACTGATCAAAGGAGCTTTGCCCCAAAGATGGAAAAGTGGTTGAAATGGCCACTTCCCAAAGTTTAGGTATGTTTGAAAAGCATTCCTGTCAAGTGACAAGATAAGAAAGGTAGTTGGGACCTGAGAACCTTTTATCTTGATGCTTGAAGTGTGGAGGCTGAGGTGTGAAACCGGTCACTGATGCCATCAGTTGTGGAGGCCCCAGGGGACTGGAGGACCACCTCGGGGGCAAGACAGTCTGCCTCAGAAATTCAGAGATGTTTACAAGCAAAGGGGACTTCAGAAACCATTTCCGTGAAGCCAGAGAAGTGAAGTGGCTTGGCCAAGGTCACAGAGTGAGTTAGCAGTGGGACCTACAATTCAGGGTCCTGACTGGGCTCACCAGGTGACCTCCTGCGGAGGGGATCTGTCCCTAACTTTTAAGTCAGATGAGGGTCCTTGGGCGACTCCAAGACTTTGCCCCTTTCTGCACAGCACAGAGTCAGGTCCTTCTGAAGCGCTGGGGACCACGGCTGGCCAGAGCCAGCCAGTGAGCCGGGACAGCTGCCACAATGCCTGTATTTTTCCACGTTGAGCTGGAGTTCATAAATAGGAACACACAGCAGCATGCATTTAAGAACCATGACACGCAAAAGTGCAATTCTGCATCCCTTTATTTATAAATGAGTTGGGAATGCCGCGTTGTTTGGGAGCAGGAGTGGGGTGGGAGTGGGGAGAGCGGGGCAGAGTTGGGTGGGGGCTGATTCCAGTAGTTCGCGTTATTCAGCACCAGAGCAAATGCTTGGGCATAAGGTCGTGCTTTAACCCAGACAATTCTTTGTCTTGCCTTATATGTACAGCATAGTCTTAGATATGTATGCTCTTCTTATGGCTTTGTCCCCGGACACATTGCAGTGACACAACAGAAAACGAGACAGGAGTCTAGAGAGAAGTTGCAAATGCCTCATGAGCTATTTCTTTCTTTAAAAAAAAATCTAATGGCCAAGGCTAGAGCTGAACAGATGCCTGAGAATCATCTGATTCAGCTGAGCCAGTACCACCGTCTCATCTCTCTCCCTGGGGTATGGCTGGATGCTAAAATCAGTCCTGAAGATAGAAAATAAATCCGTGCTCTTCCTGTCCCTCCCTCAAGGGGCGGGATCACAGTATCTAGTAGCCTAAGGCGCGGAGCAAGACTGAAACCCACAGCTGTGGTCTCTTCCACCCACACCACGTGAGGAGACAGGCTATGTCTCGCGTCTTGCTCCTCTTGGTAAGGTCCCGGCGCACAGGAGCTTGCTTGCCAGAAACGAGCCATTCAATGCGACTATCGTGTAAAAATTCCACCTTTGTTTCTTAGCTGGTGGAAGGCTGAACATTTGATGTCAGGGTCCCTGTAAGCAGCTAACACAGAAGCACTAAAATGAAGCCAGAGAGGCAGGGACCCCATATCCTGTGTGGGTATCTGCTAACCTTGGATGTGTATAAAAGGATCCCTTCCTTCTTCACCTATTAGGGGACGAGTTGACATTTGAAAGGGAGCAGAAAATAACTATCTTTCTGCTCCCACCCTACTTCAGTCCCACTGTCTCCCATCTTCCTAAGCTGCCCCTGTCCACAGTCCTAAGTTTCTATCCTCTAGCCCCCTTCAGCCTGAAGCTTCCTTCCAATGCTGGGGCAAAACATTCTCTTTCCTTCTTGTCATTTCTGCTCACCCCTCCAAGCTTGGACCATACGTTCCATATTCCCCATTCCAGCCTCACGTCACTCTTGGCCATTTATAGTTGGCTAGCCAGCCCAAAGGAAGCACAACCCTGTCTCCTCCTGAGAGCAGAGAGATGGTGGCAGGGAAGGGGCCAGGAGAGACTGAGAGATGGCCAAGAAGTATCAAAAGTTGGACTGCAGAATCCTCCCCATTCCTTCTCAGTAGGCCTGCAGCCTTGGGAAGGTGGGGAGGTGGTGTTGGAGGTTAGGAGGGTGAGATTTAGAAATCGCTTATGGGTGGTTTTGGCCCATCCCTGGAATAGTCCAGGCATGGGACATTTCCCATAATTGGCAGCAATGGTGGCACTGATGAGTCATGAAAGTGGCACCTGTCCGTATGGCATATAAGGCCTGCAAATTTATAGTCAGCCTGATACATCAACCCCACACTATTTGCTCCAGGGCAGGATTCAGGTAAATGTCGATCTATCTGCCCCGGGCCATGGAATAAGAGCACAAAAGGCCTCCCCGAGGGAGTTTCACCTACAAAGTAAGGTCCTAAAATGGTTTCAGAGAGATTTTCTTTATCCTCTTTCCCTCTCCCCAGGAACCTCTTTTCTCCTTTTCTCTTCCCTCATTTCCACCACCTTCTCTTGCCTGCTGCTCTCGCCCTTTCACTGCTACAAGTGCCAAGTAACTGAAATGGCAGGCGTACACGCACAGTTTGTCCCGGGTGCGCGATGGAAGACAGAGACTAAATGGGCACAATGGAAGAACGGGGCCTTTGCCCTCTCTGCAGAGCAGTGCTCTGGGCGGGCCTTGACCGCATAAAGTTCTCTTCTCACATGCCATGTTCCTGCCAGCTCTCTGTCCCACAGGAGTGCTTTACGGAGTTCTGGAGAAAGTGCCAGGAACAAAGAGGTTCCAAGTTAGCTTCCCCTCATAGTTTTGCTTCTCAACAAACACTACTTATCTCCAGGTGGGCAGGGAGGTAGTTCAATCCCAACACAAAGGGGAAAGACACGCCACCTTCCTTCACTGGTTGCCCCTTTGTCATCTAGAAGGCTACTTGCCAAGACCCCTGAAAAGGGGTGTTTCTGTCACAAGACGTGCTGGGCTCTGCCCCCAAGTTGCTGGTGTGGGCCTCTGCTCAGTGAAGCCCAGCTCTGTCTCTGACATTCCTGGGATAACCAGGCAATACCTATTTTTCCCCAAGAGTCTGGTTCTAAACCTTCACTCCACCTGCTCATTTCCTCCCAGTGATCAGGGAGCAGCAACCTCAGACAGCTCAGCAGGAATGCTTAGTCTCCATCCCATTTGGCAAACCCAGGGCCAGAGAGAACTACAGTACTACCTAGACCATCCACATGCTGAGATCACAGCTGAGCCCACCATTCTCCATAAAACTCTTCAGAGCCCCCCCTGTACCCTAAAATCTTATAGGAGGCCATGAGAACAACATGCTCATTTCCTGGTTGGGACAAAACATTTCTACAGGAATCTGGGATGAGCTTTTGACAAAGTGCCCAAGACACAAGGGAACCAGATGGTTCTTTAGACCAAGGATTTCAGAGGGGGATTAGGGTGGAGAGAGCAGGAGGGAGTATATTGCAAGACGCCACCACCATATATTCACATTGCATATGGCATACACCTTGGGATGGCATATTTTGAGCAGACATAGAACAGGTAGCACGTGCAGGTAGCACCCCCTATCGGTATACTATGTGTTTGGTACATCAAACTGTTACTTGAGGTCTATGAAACTGTTAACTGGTCAGAAATGGGAAAAGCCATTCCATACTGGCATCCTTTAAGGAGATATTTGTCATCTGCTAAAAGCAGAGCCAAAGCAAAGCAGCTCCTCTTTTTTGTTTTTTTTTATATCTAGGATGCTTTTCTCTGTTGCAGTTCCCATGGATTAAGGTAATTTCTGGAAAACGATGACGTCAAACCAATGATTACAAAAGTACAAGCAGGAGCATATTAGGCCTTATGTGGAGCTCTCCATGACAAAACTGTCCTTTGAATAAAAAGTTAAGGATCACACTAGATGACCTTTTATAACTGACCTAAAAGCAAGGCTGTCTAGGAGCCACCTTCCTGGAACTAGAAAGAGTTGATGTGTTGCCACATCAGGTCTCAGTGGCTGAACTGAGAAAGTTGGATTTGTCTTTAACTCAACTGTTTCAGAAGCACTTTGCCACCTCTATCGGAAAGAACTTTATTCTGGCAGAGCTTGGGTGGTACGAGGCAACGTGCAGGGCCCTTATGGAGCCAAAGTAGCAAGTTGAGGGAACAGCCGCGTCCACAGGTGGTTTACTTGGTGGGGGCGGGTATAAGGACCAAAGCAGGACGCCCCACTCAGTGCAAGTCCCCGAGGGGCACTCTGCATCTTTTCCTTAGCAAGGTTAAAGTACAGTGATTCTAGATGATGCTAAGAAGGTTTGTGTAGCTTGTCTGGCTGGAAACCTCCGTACTGAGCCCAAACCTTGGGCTGTGTGGAGGTTGAGGGAGACCTGGTCCCAAGACCTTCCCTTAGCAGAGTCCAGGGTCTCCCTGTTGAGCTGCAGCTCCTGTGACCATCACCGTTCGAACACCACTCAGGCATGCCCCGTGACCCGCCCTCCTCCCCTCCTGTGTGGTGCGGCTTCTGTCTGCCAGCAGCCTTTACTTCTCGTCCTCATCCCCCTCACTCATGCTGCTGATGGAGGCTGAGGCTGCTTTGGGCGAGGAGGGGGGTGAGGTTTTGATCGGAAGCCACGAGAAAGTGGGCGACGGGGAGCGGGAAGGGGACCGGCTCCTGGTCGGGCTGCTCACGGGGCTCTGCTTCGGGGATAAGGCCTGCAGCATCCGGCTGCTCCTCTCCTGGAACATCTGCTTCTAGAGAGAAATGCGAGAGAAGGCATCTGTTAACTCAGCGACCCGAGGTGGCAGCAAAACACAAAGGAAAGGCAGGAAGGAGAGCCACTACCCCAAAACACCCGCGCCCACAAACAACAGACTTGTACCACACCCCACGTTGCCCCAGACTACGTATGGGAAGGAGCCGAGTGAAATCCAGGGGTGGCGAGATGCCAACGGGGAAGATGACCCTCACTGCCAGTTCTCGGGACTCTTTCTGTCTGCCCTGCTTTCCCTCGGGCTGCAAAATATAACTGAGTTATCCGTGCTTTGCCACGCAAACAGCACTATCCTAGGCACTGGAGGGGGAGCAGAAAATAAAACAAAAATCCCGTCCTCATGGATACGAGGGCGAATCACAATACACGAAAGATGTAGTATGTCAGATGGAACTGTGGTCTGTGGGACATGTAGGACAGGAGAGGAGAGCAAGTTGGGTGGGGACAATGGGGGCTGCGGCTGCAAATGGAGCGCTCAGTGAAGGCCTCATGGAAAGATCTAGAAGAGATGAGGGAAGGACCACAGGAAGGGACATGAGGGCAAAGGAAATTCCGGACAGAAGCCGAGGAAGGGAGCTCTGAAGGGACCCACGCGATATGTCCAGGGGGCGGGGGGGATGGGGGGGTGGGGACCAGGCTGTCATGGCAGCAGGGGAGCAAGCTGGCGGGGAGGGGAGAGCGGGGGACACTGGGCGAGATCAGTCCAGAGACATAATGGGAAGCTGTTTCAGGAACAGTCTTTCTCAAGGAGAGGAGGAACCTCTAGAGAGTTCTAATCAAAGACGTGGCAATCTGCTTTCTGTTTCCAAAGGGCCAGTCTGGCTGCTGTGCTAGGAGCAGACTTCAGGGAGGGGAGGGCGAGAGCTGGGAGATTAGCTATGAGCCCACTACGATAAGAATCCAAGAGTCACCCCGCCCAGGGTGATGAGGGTAAGAAATGGTTAGATTCCCAGTATATTTTCCCCTATATTTTTATTAAGGTGCAATAAACTCACCCTTGTTAGTATACAGTTCTATGAGTTTTAGCAAATGCATGCAGTTATGTGACCACCACCCAGCCCCCAAATTCCCTTGTGACCCTTTGGGGTCACCCCTTCCCCAGCTTCTGGTGACAGATCTGTTTTCTGTCCTGACAGTTTTGACTTTTCCAGACTAGCATCAAAATGGAATCCTTCAGTATGTGATCTGGCTGCATTTTGATGGTAGAGCCAACAGGACTCGCTGACAGATGGGATGTGGAGTGTGGGAGGAAAAGGAATCCAGTGACTCCAGTCTGGGGCCAGTGGATCTGGAAAGTGGCAATGCCATTTGCCAGTGTGGGGAAGACTGTGTGGTGGGAAGGGGTTTTGGTGGTAAGATCCGTTTGCCAGTTTGGGACTGCAGGTGACTGCTGCCTCGTGCTTCCAGAACTGAGCCCTTCCCTGAGACTGCCCAACAGGCCTTCTGGTGCCACCGGCCTACCTTGCCCCCCACCCTCTGCTACTGCTCAGCCCCTGCCACGCTCCTTTCCAGCAACTTCTGAGCACCTGCCTGTGCTGCCTGGGGTTGAGCCCCAGCAATCTTTTGACCCTAAACTGGCCCTGAGAACCAATTCTCCTATTAGCCATTTTAGACTTTGCTTGTCACTTGGGTTATTCGTTTCACAAACCATTACAGAGACCCTCTGGGGACCAGTTGCTGCACAGGAGGAAGGGGAAGAAGGCCATGGGGGTAAAAGAGGTGGTCATGTCTGAGCTGGGTCTTTGATAACGCACAGGAAGAGGGGGGTGGGGACAGGGAGTGGGTCCATGGGAGCTGGTGGAAAATGGGCTTTCCAAGCACAGGCAGCTAAACAGAGAGTATTAAGTCCAAGTGGCTTGTCATAACCAGAACCTCAAGTGCCCATGGGGTGGCTATAGTCTGGGGTGGAGGCCAGATTTCCTCCCTAAGGGCCCTGGGAAGATTTTAATCAAGGGAAAAGTATGATCTTGTTTGTGTTTTAGAAATATCTTTGGATGTGAGCATAAAAGCAAAGAAAGAAACCATAAAGGAAAAGATTGATGTTTGACATAAACGTTTAAAACTTTTATACCTCAAGAAACACCATAAACTAAGATAAAAGGCAAATGAATTGTAGAATGAATCTCAATTCAGGTTTGTCTTATGTTTTCCTATGATTAAACTGAAGTTTTATGCTTTTTTCTTTTTTTGGTTTTTTTTGCAATGCCACAAAAGTGATGCTCCCTTCTTGGTAGTTCAATTCAGAGCTCCACTATGTTGATATTTCTTGTTATTGGTGAAGAAGTTAACCTTGATCACTTGGGAAAGGTGGTGCCTCATAGGCTTCTCTCCTAAGGTTGTTCCCTTTGTAATAAATATCCTGAAAGAAGTACTTTGAGACTATGTAAATATCCTATTTCTCCTCAAACTTTGTCCAATAATTTTAACATCCATTCATCAATCTTGCCTGTAATCATTATTACTGAGATGTTTATATGGGGTTTTAAAAGGAACTAAAATACATGAAATATAATGGCCAAGTTGTTCTTGACATAAACATACTTAAATTCTAAAAAAAAAAAAATAGGAAAATTTTTGCAACATTGAACTACAAATTATGGATCTTGGTATAAAAACAGAAGTTATAAATCCAAAAGAAGAAGGTAAAACCTTAACAGAAAAAGGGGCATATGGCATGTATAGGCAAGTCACAAGAGAAATTTCTGAATGAACTATAAAAAAAAAAGTTCATTGGCTTGTAAGATGTCAGTTGAGAAATAAAAATAAAGAAAAAAAATAATAAAGTAAGAAAAATAAAAAAAGTTCAATATCACTAGTAATCAAAGAAATGCAAACGTTGAAATGAGATAATTTTTTTTTTATAGATCAGATTGCTAAAGTTTTTTTTAAAATTTGTAATGGCTAGTGAGGGCTCAGGAGGATAAAATAGCAACATCTTTCTGACAGGTAATTTGGCAATAGATGTAAAAACTTTTATTTCCTGAGGAGATAATCAGAGATGTAATTAAATATTTGTTGTGTGTATGGATATTCAATGCAATGCCATAACAGATAAAACTGCAAACTTCCTAAATAGGTTAGGGAAATCCTGTACAACTCCAAGATACTATACTAAGCAGCTGATGAAATCAAGTTCTTAAAGAATATCTCATCATGTGAGAAAATGCTCATGAGTGATTGCAATGTCAGAATGACCTGAGAACAGTATGTTCTTCATGATCTCAATTTTGTAGAAGGAATGTATACACATGTAGATGGAAAACAGATGGGGGTAATACCGCCAAATATGAACAGTGACTGCTCTGGGCAATGAGACTGCAAGTGATTTGTATTAATAGTCTCTTCTCTACTTTCCAATAGTTCTCTATTGAATATATATTACTTTGATCAGCATAAAAAAATTACATTAGGAAAAAGAACGAGAACTCAGGTAACCCAAGCAAGGAGATAGGTGGAATGGCAGGCGTTACTATAATGACTTCGGTGAGAAAATATGAAGGCCATGGGCACATCATCAATTCTCCCCAGGCACTCATTCTTCCTGTTTAAGCTCCAGCCCCATTATTTTTTAGAGCCTTAAGTTTCCTCTAGCAGATATAACGGATGACTGACTTGCCAATCGCTAAGATCCTCTCCAGATTTAAAATTCCAGACATCTACAAATACACCAATTATTTACCTTCCATTAAGGGCATTGGTAATTCTGCCAAAAGGCATCCAACCCCTCCCCCTCCAAATCAAACAGAAAAAAAATCGTGCAGTACAACAGCATTACCTTAGATTACGCCCATTTATGAGACAAAATCAAATGCCAAAAGGATTAGGTGGCCTATTATTAACAGCAATATTTAAGAAAAAAAAAATCTCTTGAACTTTTAGCAGGCACTTTAAAATATGTGTTTTTATTACTGTAATCTTTAAGTATATTTTTCGTGGCAGCCATTAGCCCTCCTGCTGTTAATGGATTGTCAGCATTTCCATTAGAAGCCCACTTTCTTAGAAATCTACAACTTGTCTACTCTAGTTTGAATCAAACTCATAACGGAGACTATTCTGCCTGAGGGAATGAAAAAAATTTGAATCCTTAATGATAAACAACGGTATCACACTTCCAAAAATGCAATATCCATGCAAAACAACTCCTGGCCTCTGTTTGCAGCCTCTCTGATCTGCTTTTGGTGCATTGTGCAGGGCAGTTTCCCTGCAAAGGAGGTGAATTAAATCTGGTCAGGAGACAGTTTGTAATGAGCTTCCCGGGAAGAAAAGCACTTTAGAAATATAATAAATAGCGAAGACCATGGCATGGCATTTTCAAAGAGAAAATGTGTTTAAATTCAGTCTTTTACTGTATTAAGAGGTTTCCATTTATCAAGTTTTCCCCCAAGAAAAGAATCTCATTTATAGTCCTGTCCATATGAAAGTAATTTTCTATTTCCCTCCTACAAAGTTTACCCTTTTAAGAAGTACTTAACATCTAGTAAGGCAGTAAATGTCTTGACAAATGCCTTTAAAGGTTTCAGTATTTCAGATATATGCTAGCATATCTGTCAAAAAGAAATGAAAAAGAATATCCTAGTATGATCTGTTTTTGACCTCTGCTAAGAAAGACAAAACTCAAGGAGAGAGAGGAGCCCATGCTTCTGTTCTAGCCAAACTGATAAACAGCAACAACTATACCACAGTGCCTGATTTTTGCCTGAGTGTCAGGCACCATTCTGAGGACTTGAAAGCATGAACCAATTTAATCCTCCCAACAGCCCTAGGAGACAGCTTTTGCCCATATACAGATGTGACTGTGGCTTAGAGAGGCAAAGGAACTTGCCTGAGGCCACCCAGCTAGGAAATGGCTCCCTGTTCATAACCATCTCTCTTGTCATTAGCCACTTTCATAGTAAGAAGCTTTTCGTGTTTATTCACATTTTACTTGTGTCTTTATTTAAAGATAAAATTTTAAAAACTAGGCCGGGCGCGGTGGTTCAC